CCTGAACCAATCATCAAGAGTGGTTTGAAGTAAGACAGAGTCTACTTTGCAAGGGTGACTGAGAGATATGGATAAATGGAAAAGACAACAAGCAGAGCATGAGGAGCTCTCTGGGGCACAGTCCAGAGGTGGGGCTGGATACACGAGAGATGATGCCAGCTGCATAGACTACTGTGACATGACACTGTTTTCAGGTTTTAAAACTCCCTTTTAATATCATTTTTTCCCAAACTCCACTTAAAAAGCATTTATATTTTGAGTGTCCTTTGAGAAAACATACTTGTGCATATGGATCCCCCGACCCCATGCAATAACAACTGCCAATCTTCCAGGATCCACTGCACCACAGGTCAGGGCATATCTCTATGGAATGGGGAATAAAAGAATAAGACTCTAGAAAGCAATGATGTACCCTCTTTTTCCAATGCTTTGTTTTCAGTAGAGTAAAAACTTCCCAAAAGAACCAGAGAAGATCAAGACTACATTTTAAAATTAGCCCATAGAGAGTGACTTAGTACATGAAGACAATTCAGAACAAGTTCTGGTATGATTTAGACTTATTTATGAGCTTGTATCTAAAAGTATGGCACATTCATCTCCAAAAGAGCAGAGCTAGTCCCAAAGGAATTGCCCTTTCCCTGAAAGCTATTCATTCCCACTAGCATGATTTTCAAGTGTTTATTGGCTTTCTGAAGAGCTGAGTAGAATTAGCTGATAATCTAAAACGTATGACTGATCATATGCCAAATCACCTTATACTTGCTTTGTTGTGCAATCTTCGTATGTGTGTGGGGGAGAGGACGAGATTTATTATTAAAATATGTACTTAATCAAATATATCCAACAGTTGGGCTGAACAGCTTTCTCTGACAGGAGTCTGCAGGCATTCAGCTGTGATTTACAAATAGAGTACTCAAGCTAACTGCCACCTCAAACCCCTAAAGCAAGAAAATTTCCACTGGGAAGAGGGAGAATGACTATTAAAATCTATTAACACACCTAAGTATCAACAACACCATTAAACCTATTGGTAACCCAGTGTAGCTCTAAGAGATAAAAATGATTTTCCCAGAGTCACAAAGCCATGAACTACGTGAGCCTGTCTGACTCCAAAGACCAGAGTTGGCAGCTTCATTAAAACCTTCTGTCATAACTATGTGGACAATGGTCAGATCGATGGAAAAAGAACACAGCTTCTCATAAAAAAATATTGAGAACTCTATTTAATCATTTTTTTTCTCCTAAATCCCACAATATGGGAGTCAGGGTGTGACCTGGTCAAGATGCACACTTACTGCTTCTGTCCTAGACACAGACAGAATTTAGGGTGTGGACTGAAAGGAACTGGGTCTACTAACTTATGTGATTCCAGAGTGAAGAGATGAACATAAAGAGGCAGTCCTCATGGACACCCACATGGATGTCATGGAACACTCCCTTAATCAGCCACACCTTGGGTTAGCAGTCCTACTGTTTGGTTTCAGAACCCCTTTAAACTCTTATAAATTATTGAGGGACTCCAAAGAGTTTTTGTTTCTCTGGGTTATAATCTATCAATATTTATCACATTAGAAATTTAAACCAAGAAAAATTTAAATGTTTATTAATTCATTTAAAAATAAACAGATTTTTACACTAACATAAAT